AAATAAACGCTTTACATGTATTTTTCAGCAACTTCGTCAAATAATTTTATAGCTTTATCTATCTCATCTACTTCAAACGTTTCTTTACCTTTTATGGGAGCACCATACATTTTCTCAAACTTTTCAAGTAGTTCTGTTTCAGCAGCTCTCATATCATTCACAAACACAACCTTGACTCTATTGACTATACTGTCATATCTTTGAGTTATATTATATGTTCTTCCTATCTTATATCTCTTTGTATTGAAGTCCTTCGGTTTCTGAACGATGTAAAGTAAGCCTTCACTGCAACGTTCCGTATCGAATGAACCATATGTTATGAAATTATATCCAACAACTGGGTCTAACCATAACAAAACTATTGGTATAAGACTTTTGTCAATGAGATATGCTGTAGTTCCACAGAATCTTACCGATATCATAAGCTCAGGATTTCTTGTCAAAATTTTCTGAGTTGAAGCAATTCCAACCCAATGCCATGTTTTCTTTCCAAATGGTGATATAATGTCTGACAAAGAATATTTGTTGTATTTCTTTGAGTATCTTACGTTTAAATCACCTATTCTAACCACTTTGGTGTCATTGTCTATCTTTTTAACTGTTTCAAACTCAGTGTTTGTCATTTCCTGTTCTTACATACAAAATAAAAAAAATATTTTAAAAAAAACTAGCGTTAATTTTATTTTTTCTATCTTGTATAAAAGATATGATTTCATAGAGTTTTTTTACGATTTTCATGAGTTTTGGCGACTGGGGTTTTTTACCTACTCGCAATTTTTCACGATTTCAGGGATTTTTTTGACGAAGTGAAAAGTTGACTTCGTCAAAAATAACAGTTATATAATGAAAAAGTGTCATTTTTTTCATGTCAGAAGACTCGAAGGTGCAACACTTCCAAAATACCGACGAACTCAGAAGAGCAGCATGGCAGTATGTTCTTGACAACTTCTTTGAGTTCTCCAGGTACACCTTGGAAAATGCTGAAGAACTCCGACACAGAGAATTTGGAGAAATTGCGCTCCAATACTACCTTGACAAACAAAGGGTAAAATAAGACTAAAAACTTAACGTTTAAAAAGTGACATTTTTATGAGCTCCGAGTCACCGAGAAAACTTGGTCAGATGTTAGCAGCTTACTTCCCTGAGGAGGATGGAAGCGTTACATACGTAAGGTTCAAAAACAACGAACCTGGAATTGCGTACAAATTCGCAATTACATGACCGTGGAAGAGTACGAAAGGTTCCTACAAGAGAAACCAGCTCTAAACAACTCAGAAAAGAAAGAATAAAAAGTTTAACTCGTAATTGTTTATTTTTTTACTTGTATGGGCAAGCTGCAAGAATGAAGTCGACTATCTCAGTCTTTGTCTTGACCAGTTGGACGGCTCTTGCGAGTATGTCTGTTTTGCGGTCTCCAGCTGGTGTCTGACCTTCGTAATTGCGCATGTTCTTGAGAGCTCCAACTGTAAATGGTTGTAGATGAAGAGTCTCTCAGACTGCTTGAGGTAGTCGTCTCTGTCTTTGACCGAATCTGTGGTACGAGTCGAATCGGTCGATTTGAGGGAAGAGACTGAAAGCCTGTCGTCTTCCATTGGAGCTGTAGCATACTCTTTGCGTAAGCGGTTCAGACCTTCTTCGAAGTCTTGGTCTCTCTTCGATTGGATTGAGATTGGAATTGCTGGGGTGGAGCTTGCTGGAACATCCAAGGGTTGGGGAAGTAAGGCATAGGTTGAGGAGGGTAGTTCGGGAAGCCTTGTGGTGGGTAGTAACCTTGAGGTGGAAATTGGTAGTAATACGGAGGTACTTGCTGGAACTGAGGTACTTGCTGGAACTGAGGTGCAGGGGCTGGTGCTTTAGGTTCTTCTGGTTTGGGAATGGACTCGGTTGGTGGGACGTCAGTCATCCGTTTGTGTCCTGTCGGAAGGAAGAACTTTTTCTGTCGGAAGGAAAAACTTTTTCTGAAGTTCGACCAAAAAGTTCTCAATTTTCGAAAATTTGAATGGTTTACGGACGAACAACAGGAAAATTTTTTTCAGTTGTCGGGAAAACATTTTCCTGTCGGATGGAAGAACTTGGAATGCAAGAAAGACTTGACGAGGCAATTTACCTAATTGAAATTAACGACTGCTTAAAAGACTACTTGCGCAAGGTAATGAAGCCCAAGGTCAAGTTCATCTCTATTTCTGGAAGGTCTACACTTCAGCTCGAGACTTCGACTGGAATTCCAATTCAAATACCAGACGGGACAGCCTACGATGGCATAAAGGACGCCAAAAGAGAAGCTCTTGTTAAGTTCCTAAACAAACGTCCTTGGATAAAAATACCAAACAAGGAGAACCCCCTACCCCATATGAAATTGGCAATTCAGTCTCTCCTTCACTTCTCTGGTCAACCGTTCTACATAACCTCAGAAGGCGACATCCAACCAGTTCAGCAAACATCTATATGGCACGTTTAGAGTAAAAACATTTTTTTCATTTTTTGAATGAAGCAAGTTAAATTCGTCCCACACCAAACTCAATGGACCGATGAAGAGTTTCAAGCTATGGTTGAAGGTGTTGAGAACGACATAGACGGCGAACTTGAAGGAGCTCAAATCACAATTGCAACCAAAATTGCAGAAGTCAAGGAACAGATAGCTCCACTTAAAGCTACCAAAGCTACTCTTGACCTCATGGATAGTTACCGTTTAGATGTCAAGAGTGGAATAAGACAATTAAAATTAAAACTTCTAAACTACGAAGCTATACTCCAAAAGTTAGCAGAAATGAGAAGACTTTACCAGAGCTACTTACATGTAAGGGACTTACCTTCAAGCAGTCCGACCAAAGATGAATTTGTTGACATTGTCCCAATTTTGTCCGAAAGTCAGCTCAGATGTTTCGAACTGCTCCCAACATATCCAGAATATGAACGTTTGCCTGAACTCTTCCGCAATCTCAAAAAACGTTTTTTGGTTCTCATGTTCGAAACTTTTATCGGAAGAGACAACAAACGTTCAGAAGAAGAACAAGATATTATTTTAAACTTGTTGTATGACTTAACCGTCATAACAAGCTTTTTGAAGTAAAACCGTCATTCTCAAACCACTTCATTTTTTCGATGTCCGAACAAGCACCGAAGCCAAACTCAATGGCAGATGTCCTTTCAAGGTTGCCAGACAAGCGCCCAGTTCAAATTCAAATTGCCCAATTGAACGCTCATCTGACAACCACCATTAAGACTATCCAAAGTAGTCTTATGGAAGAGATAACCAATCTCAAAGTCGAAGTCCTCACGAACCAAGCTTCCAATAAGAAAGTCCTGAACGATTTCGCGGAAACCTTGCGCCAATACAACATAGAGAACCAAAACCTTGCCAGACTCATCTACCGTTTCTTCGAAGAGATAGACACCATCTGGAAGGTACTCGGAAAGGACAGAACATGCAACACCGTACTTCGTGAGTACCAAATTGAAGAAGGAATTTTCGAGGAAGAAGAGAAACACGAAGAAGAAGAGGAAGAAGAAGAGAAACACGAAGAAAAGGAAGTTTGGGCAACCTTTTGCCGATGACAGTTATGAAATTTCCCAACCCTACCCATACAAAATCCGCAACAAGGAGACCGGCAAGGTTCTTACCCCAGTCCTCAACAACTTGGGACACTTGAGCCTTACCCTTCGGAATTACGGTACAATTTCCATGGGAAGGCTTGTCGGTATGCAATGGGTTCCAAATCCAAACAAGAAGGCGAAGGTCAGACACATTGACGGTGACAAGCTCAACAACCGTAAGGAGAACCTCGAGTGGTTCTAAGAGTAAAAAAATTTTATTTTAGGGGGAAACCCCAAGTAAATTTAAGTTTTTAGTTGCATAAGTAGCTTAAATTAATGGTCATTTGCAAAATTAGTTCCCGACCTCTGAATTGGACTCTTTCGTCATCCCAGTTGCGTAGGAGGTCGTCCCAGAGGAGTTGGTAGAATTGCCAATCCAAGGACGATTTGTCCTCCCAGGCATTGAGGATGTACTGCTCGTAGAGTCTCATGACCTCTGCCTTGCACCAGACACCCTCTCCCTTGGAACGTAAGGCTTCTTCGAAGTGCTCGAATGCGATTGGCTGCTTGACCATCTGAAATGACACTTTTTGTCCGTTTGGTCAATGTTTGTGTCTCGTGCCATAGTCGACGAAAATACAGACAAACAGGTTATATATGAGTTTGAGACCAAGAATTCCCCACATTTAAATTCAAATTCGAATAAAAATTTTTTTACTTCATGCAATGTTTTATTTCTGTGCCGTCTTCAAGTATACCCCAATACTTACGCTTGGAGAGGACATGAACTTCGGAAAATACCTTGTCTAGCTTAAAACAGCCCATTTTCTCACCGACTAAACCCATTTCAATGAGTTTGTTGTATCCTTCTTCGTTCGTCATGAGTGCATCGATGTTCTCATAGTATACCTTCACTTTCGATTTAACCTCTGAGAAAAATTTGTTGTAGTTGTCGAGGACTGCTTTTGCGAACTGAGGATAGACCAATGTTCGACAATAGGTTTTACTGTGGTTACTAAGCCATTTTGACCTTCGGTGAACTCGTACTTCAAAACAAAAGGGAAGAACCTTTCAACAAAGTTGTCGACCTTCTCATAGTGTTTACTCTTCATCTTTTGAGGTTTCTTAATGGAATACCCCCAAGTCGAGTTCATAAGCAATTTGAGTGTCATTGCAAGTTTGGGGTTTGAAGCTTTCCTAATATCATAGAGTTGTTGTATGACCTTTCCAACTGTATAGTTCCTTCCCGGGAACTCACCGTTTTCGTTTGGAATTCCAGTCGGGATATATTGGACAAACCTCATGTACGCAGCGTTAAGGTCGACATAGTATATCTTTTCATATGAGTCGAACTTATCGCATCCAATCGGCCCGGTTCGTGGAAATTCAAGTGAGTCTCTTATCTTCTGAGAAACCTCGCCTGTTATCTCATAAACATCGTCGAAGCAACCTGTTTCATATAAAACCTTCTGACCTAGCTCAGATGCTCTCCAATACAATTTGACATCAACTGGATGTCTCAATGGAAGTTTGTTTATAGCATCTTGAAGTTCTTGCAACCTCATTGGAAGTTCTTCTGGTTCAGGTTGGTATCCGAACAATCCAACTCCTTTTGGAGCTGTGTACTTCTTTTGTGCTAGAACTTTGTCCGGAACGACTTTTGGTCTCACTAACAATGAAAAATTTGTTTCATCTTTTGGTACAAAAGTTTCTGTCAGCTTGTCATCTGGAATTGGTTCCAACAAGCCTTTCTCGAAAAGAATGTTAACAGCTCTGACAATGTTGCATTTGCCCTTTCCGAACAATGGGTTTGTAAGACTTTCGTTTAACATGAAGTGGTTGTGGACAAGTACAATCTTCAACCATGGCAATTTGAAGTCAACAACATAGTCATCGTGCGAAGAACCTTTCTCAGTCGGAATGTTGACTCGGATATTGACATTTGCCAACGGTGCAATTTTTGACAATTGCCCTCTGAGAATGTACCTTGTCTTCACACATGACTCAAGATACTTCATTTTCTCATCTGTAACAAGACCAGAGTTCCTGAGACATGTAAGAATACAAGGTTCATTGACAATTTTTTCAATTGAATTGTAAATTCCATACCTTGTCAAGTCAATGTCAGACTTATTTCTGAACGGGAAGTATCCAGCATGTTGTCTGACTGCTTGAGGGTTGGGTTGGTACCATTCAAACTTCACACTTGCAATTCCTTCAATTGCATTCAAAATGTCTGAGTCGGAATCAACCATTTGTTCTCTCTTTGTAGTCTTGAAAGCGTCAAGAAGTTGTGCGGCTGTTGTGACATTGCCATGGGCATAGTAAATATGACCATCCAAATCTGTTACGGTTAGTCTGAGATTGTATCCTTTCTTATTTCCGTCTTGTATGGCAGCAAGTACACCCATGAAGCCTTCTTTGTTCTTTCCTTCGTCAAAGTTTACTGTAAAGGTTCGACCAGATGTAATTTTACTTCTAACTTCACGATACTTTTCATATGCATATCTTGTTCTTTCCATGGGAGCATGTGCGTCTTCACCTTTTCCTTTTTTCCTCCTCAAAGGATGCAATTGTTCGTCATGTTTCCAGTAGAATCTGGCAAAGCCGTCGTGTCCTTCAACTTGAGGCTCACTAACATTGAAAGGCATGTCCATAAGACGTTCTTCTTCTAACCTCTCTAGTCTGTTTGGATAATTTGCGCGTGCTGTTTCTAAGTCCATTTCATAGCGAAGACCAGACAGTTTGTCATAGACTTTTATGGGTCTTCCCTTCCTATATTTAAACTTCTTTGAAACTCTCCAACCATATCTTTCTAACTCTGCTTTTATTCTAGCAGACCTTCTATCCATTCTATACGGGGGCATTTTTATAAAAATAAAAAAAATGTTTTTTCTTTACTTTACATAACCACCGGCTGCCATAAGTCTTTGACGCCAACCCATACCAGCTAATGAAGGTTGACTTGGTTTAGTTTGAAAACTAACCTTTGGTTTTGGTTTTTCTTCAGTTTTTGGTTTTTCTTCTTCTATTGGTTTTTCGTCACTTTTCGGTTCCTCTGACTTTACTTCACTTGCTGGAACAGTTGTGTCGTCAACATCTTCATAAATGTCATATGCCATTTGTTTCTGTTTTCCTTTCAACTTTTTGTGTTTGTTGTAAAGTTTAGAATATTTCGACTCTAAGTCAATGAGATGTTCTATAATGAACTGTTGGTCAGTGAAGTATACTTTCCCATCTGTTGTCTCGAAAATTCCTTCAGACTTCAATATTTTATTTGTGAGAGTCTGTTTCTTTTTTGAGATACTTGCCGTTCCATTTTTATGAAAAGTGACTTTGTAGTTAGGGTTTGTATTTCCAGACCTCACACTTTCTATTATTGAATTTTTCTCTTCATCTGTAAGTTCTTTGACAGGTTTTGACAATGGTTCTGAACTTTTTGTTTGTGGTGTCAAATCTACCGTTTCAACTTCTTCGGTCATTTCATCTCAGTAAAAAATTTTAGTTTGTTTTGTTTTCAACTGGTTGTTTAGGTTTTTTAAGTCGGTCTAAAACTTCCTGAGGTATAGGAGAACTTGACAAACACGTGGTTGTGTAACTGCTGGAAGCCGACAAATCCATCTTGAGCCCATTTGTCTTAAAGCTGTATTGTTCATTTCATCTCAGTAAAAAATTTTACATTCCCCAAGTTTGAGGTGGTTGAGGTTGGTTGTTGTTTACCCACTGTTGTGCATGGTTATATCCTCTGTTAAAGAATCTTTCACCTTGGTCCATATAGTGCCCTGCTTGGTTATAGTAGTCATTTGCTTTGTTATAGTAGTTTCCTGCTTGTCTTCCTACATTGTCCATCCATCCTTGAACTTTTCCTCTTGTTTCAGGATTTGGAATAAGATTTGCTGCATCTCGTGCTACCTCCCAACCTTTCTGTACAGTTTGTATAATAGGCTGAGCTTTCTCTTTCAGTATACCTAATGTACTCAAAATCTTCCTTCCAATTCCAAATGCACCTCTGGCTATTGTTCCCACTGCGGGTAAAAATCTAGATGCAACTCCTGCTAACGCGCCAAATAAACCCATTTCTTATAGGATAAAAATGACGAATCCAAACAAGGACCCGTATGTTTCTAAAGCAAACAAAGAAAGCACTCATGGTAAAAACTTTAGTTCAACACCAAATGCTTGGTTTATGGATATCTTGGAAAACATTCCGAGGTATAGAGAAGATGGACCACCATACTGGCTAATATTTGTCGGTCAAAACACAAGATACTGTGAAGCCATACCATTATGGTCCAAAAATATTTTAGATGTGAAAACTGCTTTGACAATATTCGTTGACAAATACCATCCAACAAAACTGACATCTGACTGTGAAAGTTCTTTCAAATCAGACGATATTAAAAACTATCTGCGTTCAAAAAATGTAAACCAATATTTCATTGTCGACCAAAACCATTCTGCTCTTGGTGTCATTGACAGTTGTATAAAAATCTTAAGAGACTTAAATCAACCACAAGGTGGTGAGGTAGATGAAATGTCATATGACGACAAGTATAGACACTTCTCCATGGCAAAGATGAGACAAGTTTTAAATATTTACAATAGCCGTAAACAAAAAGGTTTGGGAAACCATTCCCCCGAAGAAATGAAAAACAACCCCGACTTAGAGAAAGACTATATATTTAATAGTTTAGTCAAAAGAGACAAACAAGAAAGAATGCCAGGCTTCAAACTTAAGAAAGGTGACAAAGTAAAAATAGAAATACCTAAACGCGACCCATATGAAAATACTATTGACTATGACAACAATGGGAACTCGACAGGTACTCGCATTCGTGTTCGTAAAAATAGAAGAAAGTATACAAGAGAATATTATGAAGTTTTAGGCAAACATGGCAAAATGTACAGACTGCAAGCAGAAGATAAAACTACTATTGTCAGACCTCGTTTCAAACTTGTTAAGGTTCAAGGTGGTATACTTTCAAAGACAGTTCCTAACAAATATAAGACAACTCCTGACGAATATGCTAAAGAAGTTGAAAATGACGACTAAGCAATTCTATACCATGCGTAAACTGTCATGTAAGGTGGCATGTAGTCTTTACTTTGTCCCGTTGTTTGCGTATACCCTGAAACGCGATGTGTATGGTTTCCTCCTCCCTCAGTGTTACTCCAGTAACAATCTATAGCAAACTTAACGTTGTCTTTAACATCATATCCTTTACCTTTTATCATTCCTGACCAATCCAATATCTATGCTTATGCCAACCTGCTTGAGATGTACTTAAATCTATGTAGTGACTGTGCGCAGGTAAGTTTTCACCTGAAATCGTTTTACTTCCACCTGTTTCCTTTGAAGAGTTTGCACAATACAAAAACCTGTCGACTATTTGAGTCCAAGTTCCGAGACCAAGTACTACTTCTGGTTTGGTAGAGTTCATTGACGTGTAAATAGAACCTATAGGATATAGTGTTTGAAGTATTTCTGTTTTAACGTTTGAAGCTCTGTTTTGTCAGCTTTTTTATTTAACTCATCGTTAACATATGTTTTGTCTGCTTTTGTATATAACTTTTCTTCAAGTTCATTTACGTCAGAGATGCTATGTCTATGATATTTTTGTGAGTATGTTCCTTCTGTCCATGCGAAAATATACTTTTTTGTTGCATCTACATATCCAGCTATCCATGTCGAGTCTGCTTTCTTCTTTAACTCATCGTTAACATATGTTTTGTCAGCTTTAAGGTCTAAACATCCTGAAACCCACCCTGTATTGGCTTTACCTTCTAAAATCTTTGTTGTCCGTTCATGGTACCATTCAACCATTTCTTTAATTTTTTCATCCTTTTCATCCACATATTCCTTATCTGCCTTCTTCACTAACGCACTAGCCACACGTGCTAACTCATCGTCAACATACTCTTTGTCAGCTTTGTTGTCAATATCTGCTTTCAAAAGAAGTTCATCTATAGGTTTCTCGTTTAAAGTTCCTTTTGTTGGATTTATACAAACAGTATGGTTCTTACTGTCTTGAAACAGAAACTCGTCTGTCAATGGGTTTATCGTCAGTTTTAAGTTTCCTTCTTTCAATGACTCAGATATCTTAGAATAGTTTGAAAAGTTTGTTGTGTTCTTATTTAGAGCTTGCAAAATGAGTTGTCGGTTGTGTTGTATTTCTCTCATAGACGCTGTTTCTTTCGACATTTTTATTCTAGATAAAATATGCTTTCAATAGAAAAAGAAAATTCAAGAGTTGCTACAACTAAACCATTAGATGAACTTTTTACTAACGTCGGTCAAAAGTTTGAGACAGAGACCGTAAAGCATGAAGGCTATCGTTTTGACTACCCGTTAAGATGGCTAAGAGACCCATCCGTCACAAAAGCTATTGGCTTTCGTAGAATGAAGTTCATTTCAGAAGCCATACATGGTTTCCCATTTACGGTCGCTTTTGAAGTTCGATACTATAACAAAGAAAAACGTACGTATGAGAAATTTGAACAGGGAAAACTTTTACAAGTGAATTTGCTTGTAAACTTAGAAACAACTCTTCAAGCTTTTCAAGAAAAAATAAACGATATCTATCTCGAATATGCAAAACAGTACAACATTGACGAAGGAGAGTACCATCTCGATATTGTTTATGACAGGAAAAATGCAACTGTTAAAATCTATAGAATAGAAGACCTTGGAGAAGACGTTTATATTTCTACAAAATATAACAACTTGGCATGGTATAGATTTTTGAGGATGTTAAATCAGCCTGCAGAATATCCAGTACACCCGAACTTTTATGAAGTCGAAAACCCTAATGGAACATATGAAAATGTTTTCGACTCAGATGCTATTATAGTTCATGCTTCATTTTCTGGTGCACAAAACTCTTTTTTATGCTTGGCAAATGACTTTTACGAAAAACCTACAAAGCTATATGAACCACCGAGTGGAAGTATTTCAGACTTTCAAGTATGGTTTACAACAGATGGAAGAAAGAGAATAGTTCCATTATACCATGCGTTTTACTTAGAACTTAGTCTCATATACAACTACTATCGAACGGTAAAAATATAATTTTAATACGGTTGAGGTGTTGGATTTGGTTGCCAACTAGACTGTGGTGCAGGTTCAGGCTGTTGTATAACAGGAGCTTGTTCTTCTGGTTCAGGGTCTTTAGGTATAATACCAACGAACTGACCTACTCTTTTACCAATATTTTTGACTCCGTTCCAAATTCCTCTTCCTACGGTTTTTATTCCATTCCATATACCTCTTCCAACATTTCGAAAGAAGTTTCCAATACTACTGAAGAAACCCATTTTACTATATGTAAAAATCTAATGTCCGCCTAGTCTCTTACGTTTCCTTCTGAGTTCCATAGCATTCTTTAACTGGAGCTCATACATTCTATTTCTCCTCTGGTAGAAAACATACTCTGGGTCAACTCCTGTGTTCGCGTCATCTGCATAGAGTTGTTTATATCCCACTTCAGGGTTTGTATAAAACTCTTTCCATCTCATATTTGCATACCATGGTGGTAAGCCTAACGCAGCGTCATTTGACATGGCAGTTTGCATTTGTACATCTGTTGGCACTTGACCATAGTTTGCCATTGCAGTTTGTATTCTAACTTCATTTGGAATATTCTCTGGGTTTGGCTGTCCGGGTTGCTGTGCATTCGCTAAGTTCTGTGCGTCCATTTTAATATTAGATAAAAATATCTCTTACGAGTACATATGCTGAACATTTGCAGGCATTGGTTCATCTTCATATTCTCTATATCTTTCTGCCACGTCAAATAAGTAAATGACACAATGGAAAAAACCTAAAACAAGTAGTCCTATTTCAAACCACATTTACTTACCAATAAAATTTCTTTGTTATGACACTTTCTCCAGTTTATAGGACCTCTCTCATACTCTATCTTATCGTATCTAAAATCATAGTCATGTATGTCCTCTAACCATCTCATGACACTTTCCAAACCACTTTTATCGGATGTAAAGTAAAAGCATGGATGGTTATGTAAAACGTCTAAAGTTTCTAAAGAGTCTCTCAAAGTCCAGTCTACTTGGTATTGAAAATCCCATGTGTTATAGAACGGCGGGTCTACTATAAAGAAAACATTTTCCTTGTTTTTATATTTTTCATACAACTCTGTCCAACGACATCTCACAAACTCTATACCCTCAGTATATTTTTCTATGTTCTCTTTGAAAACCTTTGTATAGTTAAGATATAAAACTTTTGACATAAGTGTTTCAATGTCATGAACTCTTATAGCACCACTATATAATAGTCTAGAAGATATACTATCCCAGTCAATATACTCTGCTTTTTTCAAAACCTCTCTGACAGTATTTTTCTTATCTAATGGTATACGTTCCATCTTACCTATAGGTATCTTTTCTTTCAACTCACTCAATATTTTGTTTGTGTCTGGAATATGTTTGAGACGGTCCATATAGTTGTCGAAGTCATTGCATATAATCTTTGAGTCTGGGAATATTGTATGGCACAAATGGGATATATAGAAACTTCCACCGAACAAATCTACAAATGTTAGACCATTCGGTAGTTTCTTAAGTTCTCTCAATAGAATATCTTTACATCTACTCTTATTTCCAAAGAAGGGTAGCGGTGGTTTTGTAAAATTCATTTTATATACAATAAAAATGTTTTTTCCCTGAAAAAGTGACAGAAAAGTGACAAAACATGAAAACTACTCGGTTAAGGTCTTGTCGGTTTTGTAAAATAACCATCCTATCTTGTTAAGACTTCCTGGACTGTTGTCAAAATGTCATGTTGTCACACTTTTTCAGAGAAGTTAAAATGACCGAGGGACCGAGGGACCGAGGGACCTGGTGTTATACTAAACATCTTCAGGGGGCTAGAGGGGCGCAGCCCTGGAAGCCCCAATACCTTTTTTTTTTTTTTTTTTTTTTTTCATGGTGTCTTATAATTTTTCCTTCCTTATTGGCGTGTAGAAATAAATGCGCCAATAGATTGAAGAAGAAGAATTGTTTTTCTCTTAATGAACTTTAAGCAAAACGGCTGTTTCAGTCATTAATTCTTAAAAATAAAAAGGGTAAAAACTAAATACAATGGGTAAAATTCAATAGTGTCTGTGCTATCGTTCAATTTGAAGGTGTCTTTTGAAACCGCAAGACACATTGAATTTTTGAATAGTGTATTATGGTTTGACAGACACCAATGAAAAAAATAAAATGATATTTATTTTAAATATATAAGATCCTTATATAAAATATAAATATTTTATCGTTTTATTTTCTTGTTTTAGAAATGTTTTTTATTGAAAAATCAATAAAACTAACTCCAAAATAAAATTTTTGATTTAAAGACACTATGATGACACCAGGCAAATCTTCCAAGACACCTATCGTCGGGAATCTAACAACCCTAGGGGCATATATCTTGTAGCGTTCAAGTTCAAGTGATGAAAGTGCATAAGAAAGCTCCTTAATCATACCGATAGAAACAGCATTAGGGGCGCCAAATGGCGCTCGGTGATGTTTCCCATAAAAGCTTAATTTCAGGTATCCATAATCATAACCTGTCAGACGCAATAATTCATTAGCACACAATCATCGTTTCTCAATCAAGAAACGAAACGCACGATTGATTAGGCTGGCCATTAAATTTTCATATCAAATAATTTACTACTTCAAGAAAAATTAAAGACTATCATCAACCAAAGCTTAAAATTCTCAGTGTTTACAACTCTCATACTTCGAATATGCATATTTCCAAGATAGCATGAAAATTTTTTTCATTTGAGCTCATTTTCTTTTGTTCTATTAACTAATACATGCAGTACAAGCTTGTTATACGTATACTTAATAAGTAAGGTCTTAAGGGAAATAATAAAAAAGAATTTTGCTATTAATTATATTAAACAATATTTATTTGTAATTTCGTGATAATTATATTTCTTATTACAAAGTAAAGGTATTTGATATAATGTTTGCCTTACAAAAATGTTTCCTTTGTCTTGCCACCATAGGTATTCTATTTTGTCACTTTTTGCGCCCGCCGTGCCATGTATAATTGAAACAAATTGTCCCAGGATTATTTCTTAAAAAAAAAAAAAAAAAAAAGTATTGGGGCTTCCAGGCGCGTTGCGCCCTCTAGCCCCGAAGATGTTTAGTATAAAACCGCTTTTTAACTTCACTTAAAATGCCACGTAACCTACGTAAGAATATACGTAAGAGGAAGAGAGCATTGAAACATCCAATAGTAAAACTGACACCACAACAACAGTTGCAACAACAAATGATGAATGACCCCACTATGTTGCAACAAATGTCAAGCAATCCTATGCTTTTAAACCGAGTCATTGGTGCACAGAGTGGAGGTTTAAGAGCGGCACTTTTAGCGAAAATGGCAGGCTATGGTGGAGCTGCAGACGGAACAGCTTATAACCCTCAAAGTCAAATGAATTTGAGTTCACTCAAAAATCAAATAACAGATGTCAAAAAGTCAAACATAGACATACAGAAACAAATAAGTGAAAACGAAAAGAAACTAGAATATGACAGACACACAAAGAAACTAAATGAGTTAAACGTAGAGAAAAAGAAGAAAGAAGAACAACTGAAAGAACTAAGTACAGAGGAATATGCGAAAAAAGTGTCAGAAAAAGCAACAGAAGTAGCAAAAATGGAACAAGATGTCATAAATTTGAAAAACCATACTACTCAATATAAAATACTGAAAGATGAAGAGATAAAACAAAAAGCCCTGAAGACATATATGGATAGCGATGAGTATAAAAAAGAAGTTGAAGCAAATGTAAAGGCAGAAAAACTTTTACAGTTGCAAAACCAAACCGTACAGTATGAAAACTTAGCACAAGAAAGTAAAAATAACGACGCGGCTATGCAAAAGGCAATGAAAAGCGCAGAATATATAAAAGCTAACAATGACTGGTTAGATGCCCAAGCCAACGCTAAAGCAGCCCAGCTTATAGGGTCAATAAGGACAAAAATACAAGCGGATGAAGACAGTTCAAATGAAGCTTTAATGAATGCTGACTTTAAGAATGCCTTCGAAGCTCTTCATAGTAAGGTGAAACAAGTGAACGACTTCTCATCTGGAAAGAAACTGAAGTCTGAAGGTTTCGACAAGAGTTAAGAGAAGTAGCACAAAATATGACGAAAATAACAGATGCAGCAACGAGACAGGCAGTTCAAAGTGCCTATGACGCCGTTAGAGCAACTGTTGTGAAAAGTCAAGAAAAAGAGTTACAACAGACCAAAACAGACCTAGTAAATGCTTTCTTAAAAACGAAAAGTCAGGTAGGACATTACGCTGCAGATGGAACATATGTGCCAGCTGGTGGAACTTATATACCAGCTGTTGGAATTTATATACCACCAAACCCTCCAAGAGAAGCACCTGCACCAGGACTACCTAAAACATTTACATCGTCACATGGACATAGACACAGGCATGCACCAAAACCAACACAACAACCAACAGTTCAAAATCCAGCACCACAACCAACAGTTCAAAACACTACACAACAACCAACAGTTCAAAATCCAGAACCACCTCCACAACCAGCACAGCAACCAACAGTTCAAAACCCTGCACAACAACAACAACCACAAACAGAGCAAGGACATAAAAGAAGTAGAGAACAAGGAAACCAAGAATTCTTAAAAAGGCTTAAGGAAGACTATGGTTACCCAGATAGTATTGACTTTAGTGACAGATATAAAGAAGCTATTCGAAAGTTCAATGAAGGAAATACTGACCCGAACCTATTTAGCTTTATGGCTCAACACCAAATCGGATATAATTTCAAACCTGGAAAATACAAGCTCGCAAAGGGATATGATTTAATAGCATATCATCCAAATGACATGAACGAATTTACTCCGAGATATTTGGTGTCAGAGCTAAATGACAATTCAACTATCTTCATGAAACGCGTAAAAAATAGAGACGGAACGAAAGAACAAAGGCTTATGAATGCAAATGACTTAAATAGGGAACTTGTTGAAAACGGTCTCGGAATATATGAAATGCCAGCAGATGAGGTACAAGAAACTCCACAGGAAGAACTAGTTCAGATACAACCAGACATGGAAGAAATAGTTCAGCAACAACAGCTAGAAGAGCCTGAAGGAAACGAACAAGTCCCTCCTTTGGAAACTAACCTCACAGAACTAGATGAAGATTTGGAACAGCCGAAAATTCTTGACCCTCAACAAGAGTATGCGGAGAATATGGAATATTTCCAAGAGTCTAAAAAAAATTCGGCTGACATAGTAGAAGAATATCGAAAAATGTTTGCCGACATACAAAAGACTCCAACACCAGATGAAAATATTCAGCATAGAATGGAAGTACTGAAAGAAAATGTACACAAATACAACAACCCTTTTTACTTACGAGCATTTAACGTTCAATCTTCGGATGAACTCGGTGAAAATAAAAGGTTAAATTTCAAGAAAACATATAGAAATGAAACATTGTTTAAAGTTCATTCAGAACCTAACCAAGATGGAAACAAACCTACTTTTGTTTCTGCAGACGATGGAACTACAATGAGATGGGGTCATAAAGCTAACCCGGATAGGTGGTTCATAAACTTACAACCACAATTCCAAGAAGTTGTAGACGCAATGGAATTGAATGGTGAACCAGATATAGCTGGTATTTTAAGCGCGGCTTTAATGCCATTGAAAGATATGAAACATGCAGATATTTTGGACCAGTATGAAATGAACATGGCTGATGGAAATATAACACCTGACGTTCTAAACATTTATCTCAAAGAACTACACAGAACCATAAGATGGTATATTTGGTGAAGAGTTTAGAAAGACAGTTAGGGAGAGAGAAGGAAGAGAACCTATTGTACATGACCTTGCAAACGAAAGTTTACAAAATGTCATAAAAACTTACTTTGCAGACAATGAACCGAGAAGGGATGAATATTTAAGAAAACTCAAATGGACAGTACCAAATGAAATGTTAGTATTGAAAAACATGTTCCTTGACAAAATAAAACCAACTACAGAAATAAACGACGCAAGACTGAAAGATTGGGTAAAAGCTTTCCCATTCACAAAAGATATAGTTGGTAACATGGAAAGAAAACCAGAATGGCTACAAAAACATATATTTGGAAACGAGCTTATTCCATATGGACAGGCACTGTTTGAAGAGCTTGAACCGGAAACTCAGGAAAGAGTCATGCAAACAATACGCGAGACTCAAATACAAACTATGACAAACTCTTTCTAGGATATAGGTTACCTGAGATGGGCGACCAGAGCCCAAAGGCAAAAAGGACATGGGAAATTTACAACATACTGTGAACATGAGGCAAAGATGCAACAACTTGAAGCAGAGGGCAAGTTACCAAAGCGACACCAAAGAAGAAGAGTAGAACAAAGTGAAAGTAGTGAAGAAGTAACTTCATCTAGTGAAAGTAGTGGCAATGAAGGAAAAAGAAGAGTTAAAAACTCAGTCAGGAAGAAAGTAAAGCTTGGTCCACGTGGGTTCTATTATGACACATAAACCCAACTATTCTATATTTTTACCATATGAAATGTACGCCGCTCAGAATATAACGCCAACAGTTTTGGATGCCATGAATGGAAATGTTTCCGAATGGTATAACGAATGCGACAATGCCATTAGAAGGTCAGAAATAGTTCCTGGAACTTACGAATATACAACTGCTGTTTCTTATGGAAACGTAGGTGAGTTTGGAGAAGGTTCTTCAACAACAGTAGATATTGCTTGCGACAGGTTTCATATAATTTCTATTGACAACTCTTTCTTATACGTGGAACAAGACATTGAAATAAAACCTTCTGCCAAGTTGTCTGACAAGAAAGGTTGCAATGGAATTTTCTATGTCGGATACCAATATGCTCCAGAAGTTTTCATGGGATATAAGATATATTCTAACTCTGACTTAGTTCAAACAGTAACATGGGCAAACTATGAATGGTTCGCTTTGAGAAACTCAGTACAACCACAAGCTAGAGAACAAACAGACCAGTATGCAACTATTGAGAAAATAAGAAGACTTGACCCTAACGTTCCAGGAGTTTATGTTAACCTTTCTGGACAAACTGCAGCAGCAGTAACCAAAGTAAAATTGAAACTTAGAGTTCCTTTGTCATCTTTCCTCATCTTCAGGTTTTTAAGATACTTGCCAAACTGGGCAGGAAAAATTTCTATCGAACTTACTCCAAGCAAAAATAACTTAGTCATTGCACCAACACAAGACCCATTCACTCTTACAGAAGTAGTGGAACAAATAAAGTCATTTGCCGACTTTTGCAAAGACAAAGTTGACTTAGACTTTGGTTTCTCAAACCTCAACACTGAAGTAAACTATTATTTCAATGCTGCTGGAACTGCTTGGGACCCAGTTAAGTTCACATGCGAAAAGTTTGAATGCAAGAGAATAGAAAGCAGACTTGCAGTCTATATGTTGGACCCAGATATTTCAAATGCTTTAGCTGCCAAATATATTGCAGTTCCACTTATGTTCCCTATACACCAAATATCTGTCAAAGACTTTGCAGGTGAAGTTGGAAACCAAAGTGCTGACCCAGGTGCAAGAACAGATATTGCCTTAACAACTGCAATGAAACATGCAGATACTATGTTTGTACTGTTCAGACGAACTATAAATGACTATTCTTGTTTCTACAACCCTGGTATTAAATATCATATAAACATAGATGGCAAATACTATCCAAGAGAAGAATATTCTACAGTTGAGGATATGAGGTCATACAACTTGACATTAGATGCTATGAACTTTAACAACAACTTCACAACAACCATTAACCCTGAAATGCAAAGTTCTATTATGCCATATGTGAAAGTATGGACTCATACAGGAGTCAAAAACTCAATATACAAATGGAGACCGTTCAAACTTTTGGCTTGGCATTCCATTTGCTGACTCAGAAGACTTTATGGGTGGTATTTCAACTGTTGGTACAGTTCAAATACAATATACTGGTGACAGAGACGGTCCAGATGAATTGAAGCAAAGAAGTTTACAAAACCAATAGCACTTTTCACGGAAGATGCTCTTTTGAAGATTCGTTCGATGAAACCTGCTGGGGCTCCTCAGATTGGTATAACGACAGCTTCCATCGAGCAGATTTTGGCAGCAGGTCAGTAAGTTGTTCTTGAACTGACTTCTCTCCGTCAAATATTGACAGTACGCCAGTCTTAACATAGTATTGTATTAAAAACTTACCTTTAGAAATATCGGTCAGTTTTGTTGTTATATTTTTGTCTGCTTCAAGAACTTTCACCATCTCGGTTATACCAACTTTCTTTGCTTTATGAAAATATTTTGGTTCAGCAAAGACTGCTATTCTATAACATTTTCCATTGTTTGTGTAAAGAACTACTCTGTCAATGAACTTGTATTGTTTGTGTGTGTAAACTTTGTTCTGCTTCAATTCGAAGAGATACTCAAATACGTCCATCTTTTTATTCTAAGTAAAATGTCATTTCCGAAAAATAGAAGCGTAAGTGTTTCAAAAGGTTTAATGGCGATGGCAGATGTGAAGTTAAATTCACCAACTCAAACAAACAGTCAAAGTGTTGTTGTCAATGTCAAAGACAGAGATGTTGAAGTGGGGAAACCATACGAAGACGAAGATGGTATAACAATAGTTCCTGTAAAAGAACCAACATATCCTGAAGTTAGCAGAGACTTAAGTTCTGTTGCAGATATTCGAAACGACTACCAACAACTTAAAGACAAACTTAAAACTCAGGAGAAGATTTGTCAAGCTTTAGGTCTAATGTTAAACTTGGTTGAGCACAACCCTGTAAAAGTGAACTCATATGTCATCGCACCTCATGAAATTTTGAAAGAACTATTGAAACTTTTGACAGAGGCAGACGATATAAACATCAAAGAAATAGAACCCGACATTGCTTGCTGTGGTGTTTCATATAATGTCATTGACAAGATATACGTTATGAAAGGAGGTGAAACGTTGAACTTAAAATATAGTTTCCCAGACGTCATAAAAATATTTGACGACCACAACATTTCATTAAAATTTACTTGCTAAGTAAAAATGGCAGAAGACATAGTGGTTTATACTATTACGACTAAAAACCCTGAGTCATATAATTCTATAACAACAAACTTACAAAGTCCTCAAGGACGATATTGTAAACTGACCTTAAACACGATGACGACTAAAGCCTGTTTTGCTCTTTTGACACCAGAAGATTTTATTGTTGTGAATGGTAAAAAATACTTCTTTGAAGATACTTACTCAGATATACCACCAACAGGTTTTGTTGACTTATTTAATACTTTAAGGACGGATGTAACATGTGCTGCAACTAGAGCAGGTTTCATTATGTTTGGATGTCCGACTGAGTTTAGTATAAACGATATGAGCTATAATACAAAACTTATATCTGGTTTTTACTACCAACAGTTTCCTATAACAGGAAAAGGTGTCATACAAGGAATGTCTGTTCCATTGACTTTAAGTACACCTATTTTATATATTGTTTCAAACTTAGGTTCAAAGTGCTATTCGAATGTCGACAGAAACTACTATGACCAAAAGATACTCATGCGTATAAACAACACTTTCTCTGCTGGTTTGCCTATTGTTCATTCGAATGCAGAGTTTTCAGCTTTAGTAAACTCAAACACTTTAGCAAACATAAACTTAACCTTAGTTGACGCAAACTTTGTTCCTGTAAAACTTTTATGTCCTATGTATTTGTCAATGACGGCAGAAAGTTTCGAATTGGAAGATGCAACTGGTGAAAGTATTGTACTACAAGAACAACTTCAACAACAAATAGCTCAAGAACAACAAATGCAACAAATGGAACAAATGGAACAAAGTCAAGAATAAAAAAAATATTTTTTTTTATTTTTATAAAAAAATGTACAGAATAGACGTTTCAGATTTTTATGACTTCCAAGCGTTCAGAAATATGTGTCCATTTAGAGACTATAACAAAGCAGTCGAGAATTTGAAACGTTTAGTCATTTATGTCGACTCTGCCCCAGAATGTTATGTCATGAAAGAATGGGATGTAGTCTTTAACAAACCAAGAGCAACAATAGTTTCAGAACAAGAATGTAAACAGAAACTTAAGAAAATAAAAGTCGTACAAGTTGGCATGAAGATGTTAGATGCTTGGGATATCTTATTGTCAAAGTTAGAAGATTTTTCAGTTCGTGGTATAAAGTTCTATACACCATCTCCAAACTTCTATTCTATCTTCACTGGATATAAATACGAACAAGTAGAATGGAAAGAAAATGTTATAGAAGCTTGGTTAGACCATGTCAAAGAAATTATATGCAATGGAAACGAAAGAGTCTATGAGTATATCTTATGTTGGTTTGCAAACATCTTACAACATCCAAGTGCTAAAAATGAAACTGCTCTCATTGTAATTGGAAAACAAGGAACAGGTAAGAACACTTTCTTTACAGATATTTATGCAAACTGTTAGAGGCTATTCGAACCCGAATATGACAAACTTAGAAAACATCTGCGGTAAATTTAACTCTTCAATAGAGAATATGAAACTTATAGTATGTAACGAACTTCAAAGTATAGATACAAAAAAGTTTTGAACTCAGATGCTTTGAAGAGTCTTATAACAGACAAAGTTGGAGTTGTTGAAAGAAAGTATAGAGACCAAAGAGTTTGTGAAAATGTTGCAAATTTCTCATGGTTTCAAACAACGCCGTTCCGATGAAGTTAGAAAGTTCTGACAGAAGATATGTAGTTGTCAGAACGTCAGAAGCTCATATGCAAGATACAGAATATTTTGACGACTTAGCAGAAACTTTGACACCTAACTTTTACAACCACTTGTTCTCATATTTCATGACATTAGATATTTCTAAGTTCAATCCAAGACAAATTCCACATACCGAAGAGAGACAAACATTGTTAGAAGCAAACAAGAGTGTATATGAACTGTTCATAGATGAGACTAACTTTGAGTGTTTAGATGAAAGGTCATTGTACGATTCGTATAAACAGTATTGTCAAGAGTATGGTTATATGACAGCGTCTAAACGAACATTCTTGGCAAATGTCAAAAGTCTTTTAGACGTACAGAATGGTGTATATACAAAGAAAAATTTTTCTGAGTAAATTTTAAAAAAAATATTTTTTTTATCCGATAGAAAAGATGACGAAATTCATCTCAGTCAACAAGTACATGTCAGGACTTAAAGAAGAACTAGACCCATTCACATATTTGAATGTTTACTTCTACCATTTTGAAAAGTCTACATTTGACAAAGTTTGGAACATCGAACCAGTTAAGTTTGCTATTGTGACTAAAAATGGTGCGAAATTTGAAGACTTAGACATAGAAGGTTTGTTAACAGTCAAAGAAAGTTTTGACAGAAGGTTCTCAAACCTTAAAGAAGGCAAAGCATACAAACTTGTTATACCTTATGAACCAAAGAAAGCAGACGACTATGAATATTATGAGTCTAAGATAGTTGAAGTTCAAGGTAAATTGGGTAAAAAGATTTTAGAGTCTAAGCCAGTGTTTGCTCCTAAAGAGGAAGAGAACATTGACATTGACCCAGAAATGTTCTAAAAATAAAATTTTATTTTTACATGTCAAATTTCTTCTTCTCTGGCTCTGGTTCTTTCTTCTCTTCTTCTACTTTCTTTTCTTTCTTTTCTCTCTTCTTCTTCTCTGGTGGAGTTATGTCAAACTTCTCAGAACCATATTTTTGTAAAAGTGCTTTGTCATTTAATAGCTCTTCTATTCTGTTTTCTATTTCATTTTCAAGAACAGCGCATGTGTCTTCTTTGCATTCTAAGAAGTTTTGTTGGACTTCATCTCTCCAAGAGGCGTCATCTCTGTCAACAAGTCTGTCATTGACAAATTTTAAGACTTCTCTGCTTAAGGTTTTATGGTTCTTGTCATATTCCCAGAAACAGAACTTTAGAACAAATTCCCTTTCTTGTTTACACTATGTAAGATTTTATGGTCGACAGATGTTTTGCTGTCGAAAAGCTTGTCTCGAATATAGATAGCGAAATCGCTAGACATTTCCTAAAAGATAAAAATTTTAATTTTTCTAAAAATATGTTAGAAAAAAAGTTTGCTGACATTGACAAAAATTTGAGAATGTTTTAAATAAGAACAAGAGGAAGTTGGAAAATGCTCAGATAAAACCCATACATGACAAGTTCTATTTGCTCAGAATGGTATAACAGGTCTAATTGCACCGCCTGGGTCGGGTAAGACTTTCACTTATCTTAAAATGGCTGCACAACAACAAGAACTAGATGAGAAGAACCCATTCTATGAGTTAGTAGTCATTTGTAGTACTTCTGGTCAATTTGACCAAACCGTCAATTCGTTCAAAGATATTATAAAAAAGTCTAAGTTAGTATGTATAAAAGATACTGAGTTGTTAGATTGGATAAAGAAGTACCAAAGAAGAGTTTTGAAGTACAATGCTATAAATGAGTATGTCAATTCTAAGTTTAAAGACCCAAATGAGGAAATGCAGAGAATATTAGAGAAGAAACACTTCAGAAACAAACAGAAAGAGATAGTACTTTCGAAGAAATTGCAATCTTACGATTGGAAGACTTACCCTCACAGATGTCTTCTTATCTTAGATGACTTTGCTTCTCATCCTTTGTTAAAGAACAGAGAACAAGACATGTGTCGAATTCTAAGAAGCTCAGACACTTTAACATTCAGTTGTCATTTGTGTACAGACAGCAAAGAGTTTAAGTAAGGATGTAAAGAGAATACTTACTGATATCATACTTTTCCCCGGATTGTCCGAAGACGATTTCATGGAACTTATGAAAGAGTCCATGGCAGGTAAGTTTGACAGACATGAACTCTGGGAGAAGTACAAAGTCATACAAGACCCTCATACTTCTTTCAGAATTCATATCTACGCAAACAAAGTTCAAATTGTAAAAAGTCAAGCGTAAAAATGTAAGTGTTTGAGTCTTAGTCTGTTGTGGTGCTGGGGCTGTCGGTTCTTCTGGCTTTGGAATGGACTCGGTTGGTGGTACGTCGGACATTCGTTTGTGTCCTGTCGGAAGGAAGGACTTTTCCTGTCGGAAGGAAAAACTTTTCCTGTCGGAAGGAAACTTTTCCTGTCGGAAAGAAAAACTTTTCCTGTCGGAAAGAAAAATTTTTCCTGTCGGAAAGAAAAATTTTTCCTGAAGGTCGGCCAAAAAGTTCTCAATTTTCGAAAATTTGAATGGTTTACGGACGGACAACTGGAAAAATTTTTCCTGTTGGAAGGAAAATTTTTTCCTGTTGGAAGGAAAATTTTTTCCTGTTGGAAGGAAAATTTTTTCCTGTTGGAAGGAAAAACTTTTCCTTGGAAGGAAATTTTTTCCTGTTGGAAGGAAAAACTTTTCCTTGGAAGGAAGGACTCGGAATGCCAGAAGGACTCGGACAAGACAATTTACCATCTAGAGCTACATGAGCCATCTTTGGTGTCAAGCTTGAAAAATAAATGGTTCATTTACTCTTCCTCTTTGAAGTTATCGAAATACTCTGTTATCTTTTCCTTCAGTAGCGGCAAATCTTCTTTGAATGTAAGTATTGTACAACCTTTCATATCATAGTGTGTTTGAGGTAACGTATCTTGAACTATCTGTTTAACATCTTCATTTGGTGTCATTGAAATCGGTAAGTTTTCGCGATAGAACCAATTTCTGTCAGATTTGTAAATCTTAGCTAAGTCGTAAAAGCTTTTGTTGTTTCTTCTGACTAAATGCAACATAACCATATCTCTGTCTTCTTCATTTTCCATCTCTTCAGTGTAAATCATATACTTATAGTTCTTTTCCTTTCCTTTTGGTACCGAACGTGGTATTCTTTTCTGTATGTTTTTGTCTTTTGCTTCAAGCTTGTTCTCTAGCTCTTCACGTTCTTGTCTATGAATTTCGTCAAGAAGTCTGAAATATACCAAGCATAACGAGGCGAAGCCCACATTGCACAGCATTTACAAGAAGTCTATGTACATACCAACCTCTCAAACCATTTGGCAAATTTTTACGATTTTCATAGAGTTTGGCGACCCCGAAAAAGTCGGTCCGCTGTGCTTCGCTCAAAAGTTCTTGTGTGCTTTGGTTTTTGAACCAATCGTCTGTATGTTTGATATCTGGTGCAAAACATGCTGTCAAAATACTTTGCATTTGGTACATGTCATCTTTGACCGAACGAATGAGACGTAACTGTTTGTTAAACTGAACCCACTCGTATTCTTCACTTATGGCTTCATGAACGATAGCAGTTGTTGTGTTCTCTGTTGTTGACATTTCTGTTCTTACATACAAAATAAAAAAATAAAAAAAAATAAAATTAGCGTTATTTTCTATCTTGTATAAAAGACCAAAAATAAACGCTTTACATGTATTTTTCAGCAACTTGTCAAATACTTTTATAGCTTTGTCGATCTCATCTACTTCAAACGTTTCTTTACCTCTCGTGGGAGCACCATACATTTTCTCAAACTTTTCAAGTAGTTCTGTTTCAGCAGCTCTCATATCGTTAACAAACGCAACCTTAACTCTATTGACTATACTGTCATATCTTTGAGTTATATTAAATGTTCTTCCTATCTTATATCTCTTTGTATTGAAGTCCTTCGGTTTCTGAACGATGTAAAGTAAGCCTTCACAGCAACGTTCCGTATCGAATGAACCATATGTTATGAAATTATATCCAACAACTGGGTCAATCCAGAACAAAACTACTGGTATAAGACTTTTGTCTATAAGATATGCTCTTGTTCCATAGAATCTTACCGATATCATAAGCTCAGGATTTTTTGTCAAAATTTTCTGAGTTGAAGCATTTTTAACCCAGTCGTGTGCTTTCTTTCCTTCAGATAGTGTTAAAATGTCTGACAAAGAATATTTTTTGTATTTCTTTGAGTATCTTACGTTTAAATCACCTATTCTAACCACCTTGGTCTCATTGTCTATCTTTCTAACTGTTTCAAACTCAGTGCTTGTCATTTCCTGTTCTTACATACAAAATAAAAAAATAAAAAAAATAAAAACTAACGCTATTTTTTTATCTTGTATAAAAGATATGATTTCAGGGATTTTTTTGACGAAGTGCAAAAGTTCTCTTCGTCAAAAAAATACAGTTATATCATGAAATTTGGTCATTTTTTTACGATTTTCATGAGTTTTAGGCGACCCCGGGAAAAGTCGGGGTCGCAATTTTTCACGATTTTCATGTGTTTTAGGCGACTACGGTTTTTTCCGTACTCGCAATTTTTTTACGATTTTCATGAGTTTTAGGCGACCCCGGGAAAAGTCGGGGTCGCAATTTTTCACGATTTTCATGAGTTTTAGGCGACCCGGGTTTTTCTCCCACTCGCAATTTTTCACGATTTTCATGAGTTTTTTTTACGATTTTCGAATGGAATCTCGTTCCTCGGTTTTCCGCGGGACGCAATTTTTCACGATTTTCATAGAGTTTTTTTACGATTTTCGTACGGAATCTCGACCCGCGGTTTTCCGCCGGTCGCAAACATATGAGGAAATTCATGAAATTTGGTCATTTTTTCATGATTTCATAGAGTTTTATGCAAGGCCGAAAAAAGTCGGGGTAGCAAACATATGAGGAAATTCATGAAATTTGGTCATTTACTCAGCAAAAATATATTTTAGGTGGAACCAGGTCCCTCGGTCCCTCGGTCCCTCGGTCAACTAACATCTTTTTGAAAATGGTGACAACATGACATTTTGACAACAGTCCAGGAAATATACTTCATCGTATATGTTTTTTCACGAAGTGTAAAAGTTCTCTTCGTCAAAAAAATACAGTTATATAATGAAATTTGGTCATTTTACTCAGCAAAAATATATTTTAGGTGAAGAGGTGAGATCTCACCTGTTTTCTCACCTGTTTTCTCACCTGTTTTTCACAAGCGTTTTACATGAATTGTACGATGTATATTTGAAATCCTAAACAGTTTTGTAGCTTCTATTTCTTCTGTCAGTATGTCAAAAGTTTTCACAATGCCGAATGTTTCTTTATATTTCTTCTTGACGTCAGATAGAAGGAAATCGTCAGCAGTTGGATAGTTTTTGTTCAGAAATGTCAACATGTCCATTTTATCTTCTGCTGGTTTCTCTGCTTCTTTCTTTAAATCTGCATAGTCGTTTCTCATACGTTCTATCTCTTTGACGGAGTAGTTATATTTCCTCATTGCTGCTTTACATTTTGAACATTGTGGGTTCATTTTAGCATTGTACATTGAAATAAAACCTGCAAGTATGACTAAGGCGTCAATGGTTTTCTTTAACTCAAAAGTTGCTGGTTTTATCTGTTCGTTCCATACTTTACCTCTTTTATCTTTATCTCTTATCTGCCATACACATTTTGCAACTAACGAAACAAAGTTGTCGTAGGTCTTAAATTCTTCAGATTTATATATGTCAGAAACATTTTTATATAACATATCGCAATCTTTGTCCATGACTTTGTGGTTGCAATGAAATCCAAGAAACTCATAGTTTACCTTACGTATGAACTTCTTGGTTTCTACTGAGTCAGTTGCTTTGACTTCTATTTCATCGAATTCAGGAATAGTAAGCTTTTGTTGTTGTATTTCAGGAAGTTTAGGTAGATGGTCAATAATATCCTGCATTTCATAAAGATATTCTTCATTTGTTTCATCTTTTGCACTACAGTCTAAAACTCCTTGGAGAAGTTCTTGCTTTATCTTCTGGATTTCTGTTTCGAAAGTATATGAAGAAGGAATGAAGCTTTTCATCCTACTAACATTGAAGTTGGGTTCATGACTAACGAGTTTGGTGCTGTTGTTGCTAACATGTTCTTACAATAAAAATAAAAAAATATTTTTTTAAAAAAACTAACTTTTTTTATGTTTTTTGTGAAAGTGTCAAAATTCATGAAAATTCAACGGGTGAGAAAAGAGGTGAAAAAAGAGGTGAGATCTCACCACTTCACCTAAAATATATTTTTGCCGAAAAAAATGAGTTTTGGTTGAAAAATACGGTGGAGCCAAAAGTGGCTCGACCTCAAAACAAGCATTTCGTGAAGAATATACCAACCGCCGGAATTCCGGCGGTTGCTTTTTATACAAAACATTGACGAAGAAGTCTACTTCCTGGACTGTTGTCAAAATGTCATGTTGTCACACTTTTTCAGAGAAGTTCGTTTAACCGAGGGACCGAGGGACCGAGGGACCTGGTGACACCTAAAAACCATCTAACCTAAAATATATTTTTGCCGAATTCAATAAAAATAAAATGGTTCATTTACTCACAATATTTTTGTACAAAAGGACCCCAACCTTTTAACCTCTCTTCTGCAGCTTCTAATGAAACTTTAGCGAGTTCATATTCTCTAAATTCTCTCTTTAAATCTTCTTGTTCCCATTGGTCTAGTTCGTATGGAGAGTCTCTATAACCAGAACATATCTCACGTTCATGTTCTATTTGTTTTTCATGCATTTTTCTAACTTCTTCTTCGAACAAAGGTTTAGCATTCTCTGCTGTATCTTCAAGTTCTTCTTCATCTAATTTCTCATGAACTTTCTTGTCTATGGAGTCCATAATTTTTTCCAACTGCTATGCAATATTTTGGAGAAGCCCACATTGCTATATAGTTTACAAGTCTTGGGTCTACATACGTTCCTCTAACCTGTTTGATTTCATCGGAATTCCTGCATGAATTTTATATAAAAAGCAACCGCCGGAATTCCGGCGGTTGGTATATTCTTCACAAAATGCCTTATAGTACTCTTCCCAGGACTTATTTTCCAACAACTTTCTAAAGTCTTTCCTAAACTGCTGACACATATTTGTTACATTTATATAACCATCCTTGTCTCTACGTAAGACTTCAATACCGTTGTAAGTGCCTTTTGTGAATGTTTCGCCATTAGATTTGTTCGTGAACGTTTTTGCTTCGACTGTCATACTGTTCTTACAATAAAAATAAAAAATATTTTTTTGGGTGGCTTAACCGTCGGACATTCGTTTGTGGCTTAACCGTCGGACATTCGTTTGTGGCTTAACCTCAAAACAAGCATTTTGTGAAGAATATACCAACCGCCGGAATTCCGGCGGTTGCTTTTTTATACAAAATTCAACGGGTGAAAGAATACGATGAAATCTATTTCCTGTGTTGTTGTCAAAATGTCATGTTGTCACACTTTTTCAGAGAAGTTAAAATGACCGAGGGACCGAGGGACCTGGTGACCTGGTGAGATCTAAAATATAGGGTGTCCAAAGGTGCGTTTAGCACAGCGCTCTATATGAGACTATTAAAGGAGATATATGCTGATTATAAATATATAATAAAAAATATGAATATATGTATATGATGAGTATGTTGTATTTTGGCGCCATGCCGGGATATAAAATGAATTTTGAGACAAGAGGCGGTTTCGCGGGAAATTTTGGCGGGATTTTTTTCATTTTTTTAATGAATCATAAAGAAAACATCCTCGCTCTTGCACAAAAATGCAAAGACTGTAAAAAAATCTACGAGACATTGGTAAAATGCTTCGGTATGGATGCTCCTAGTTATTCCACTGTAACGTATCATGTTAGGATGTATCACTTCATGAACAAAAAGGCGCCCATCATAAAAATTGACAAAAAATCGCCGGATCAAAGAAAAATCAAAGCAATTCTTCAAGCGCTAGATGAAGACTCAAGAGCATCACTCAGAAGGATAGAGGAGATGACAAAGATACCACGTACAACAGTCAGTTATTCTCTGCACAATTATTTGAACTACAAACTAGCGTATACACGTTGGGTTCCGCACAACCTTAATTCAGTTCAAAAAAAATCTAGAGTCCAATCTTCGAAAGAGCTCCTCTCTATATTGGGTGCGTATCAATCCAAGAAGTTTCGCTTTTTAGTAACAGGGACGAGTCTTGGTTTCAATATGCAACAGAAGCCAAAATCATGTGGATCCCGAAGGATGAAAATCCGCAAACATTCCCGAAGAAAAAAATTGACACACCAATGATGATGTTGTCGGTTTTTTGGGGCGTGAATGGCATCATCGCAATTGATATTCTTCAAAACCTAATACGATGAATGCTCAGTATCTAATTGACAATGTTCTTACTCAAATTATCAATTCTGATGAGTTTGAGAAATCCAAACAACAAAAACAAAAGTTTGCAATTCATTTTGATAATTCAAGAGTTCACAAAAGTCATAAGGTAATGAATTACTTGGTGGAAAACAATGTCAAAGTTGTTCCAAACCCAATTTATTCACCTGATATTGCACCCTCTGACTTTTATTTTATTCGGCACGCTAAAAAGAGAGCTGAAGGACGCGAATTCGCGAGTCCAGATGATCTTGAAAATTTTGTAAGAGAGCAATTTGAGCAATTTTCTCATGATGATTTAAAGCGTGTCTTTGAAGCCTGGATCGATCGCTGCGAACGCGTGATTGAATCCAATGGTGATTATATTTAAATAAACTTTATATATATGTAACTTGTTTATTTCTATTCGCAGTATTCAGGTTTGTGCTAAACACACCTTTGGACACCCTATATATTTTTCAATACTTTTTCAGCACTTTTCCGTAGTTGTATATGAACGACAATTCGAGATAAAAGTCATAGTACAGTGGAATAATATGCTGCACACCGTTTGTTGTGAACCAAATTTGAAAGTCAGAGAAACTTTACTAGTGGTTCGTAGGAATTTAGAAGCAAAGTCATAAAAGTCCTTACCGATACAAAGAAAACTGTTGTTGCTTGAACTGAAACTTGCATGACACATGACATTTTGAGGGTCAAACACGTTTCTATAAACTGTCAAATCTGTTGTGGGAGTATAAATTTAAAAGGACCGTCAGGTGGTAATGGTTCGTTCTGGTTAGTAACCGAAGAGAATTGCGCCCAAGAACGTTTGTCTACTCCCCAATATAAAAACTCTGTATCTCTTGGAGGGTTAATTTCAATCTTTTGAAATGAAACGGTGGAGTTCATCTTGTCGTATTCT